TTTTTTTTTTTAAATGGGACATGTGTCCCATTTTTATTGGATTATGAATTATATATATATAAATTAAATTATCATTCATGTTTTATAACAAAAAAAAAATACCAAAATTTATAATTTTTCATTGTCTACAAATAGAGACCACATTTGATAGGTTTTAGAACACAATTAATTTATCACTTTTCACAATTAATTTATCTTATTGGAAGATGAAAACGCAAATCTATAATAAAATGAAAATGTTACATAGTAAGATGAACATGTTATAGAATAAGATGAACATGTTACATATTTACACAATAATATGAACATGTTATAAAATAAGATGAACATGTTACATATTTACACAATAAGATGAACATGTTATAAAATAAGATAAATATGTTACAAAATAAAATGAACATGCTATAAAATAAGATGAACATGTGTTATTTCATTCTGTAATACATAACATGTTCATCTTATTTGATAACATGTTCACTTTATTATGTAACATGTTCATCCTATGTCAGTAGAATAAATTGATTACGAAAAAAAAAAAGATTTATTATGTTCAAAAACCTATCAAATGTGGTCTCTATTTATAGAGAATGAAAAATTATGAATTTTGATTTTATTATTTTTTATTTTAATATAAATCATTAATGATATTTTAATTTATCTAATACGTCTTATTTTCAATTAAAAAAAAAAAAAGAAAAGTGGCATGTGTATTACAATCTCTCATTTTTCTGGTTTTTGGGGGTGAATGGCGCGTGCATAATTGCCCTGGCACACCTTGCTAGGTGTGCCAGGACACACGATAGTGGTACTGTTCCAGGACTTCCCGCCGCCGCCTTCACAGCCAAATTTCAACAAACTATATACTAATTTCATCAGATGATACTTTGGATTTTGTCAAAATTATCATTAAACTTTTCAAATTTTTTATTGCGATTACACCTTAAAGTTTGACAGAGTGCTATCAGAGATCCCACCATTAAATTTCCAGAAATAAAATACGTGCACAAAATTATCTTCTTGATAATTTCAATGGTGTAGCCTGGTCGTCAACTGAGTCTCTCAATTGTCGGAGATAAGTCTGACGAACTTTTCGATTTTCAAGCAAGTAGTGGTGGTTAGAAAATCTGGAAACATTGGCATAATGATGGTGATTGAGAATCCCGATTGATAATTGATTGAGAGATATTCTTCAAGGCCATGTTTTTTACACAAATATGGTTCATGAAAATCCAACAATGGGTTCTCTTGTTGTACTCAAACAAACTTTAAAGCGCATTTTGACCATAAATTATGGAAAATTTAACATTAATTTTGACAAAGTTTGAGGTATTGTATGATGAAATTAAAGACAAAGTTCGATAGATGGAGCCGAGAGCATCAAAATTATATGTGATTTGTTGAAATTTGCCACCAGAGGCGGAGGAAGACGACATACAACATTTTTAACAGATTTTCCAATATTTGGACCAAATGTGATTGATTTTGAGAAATTCAATAACCAAAATTGATTAAGTTGAAATCTTGAGTGTTAAAGGTGATATACTTTGGATACCAAAATAAAATTTCCCCACTAAAATGCAAGCAACTCCCATTAATAGAATAAATAATACTCAAGTAAATAAATTAATAAAAAGTGATGCAAAGAAGTCCTATTAATGGAATAAAATATTATTTAAGTAATAGAAATAATCACTCTTCATAAAAAAATATACACATATTGATAACCTAACTATTTTCTATTTTTTTTCCTACTGTGTAACAGGTTAGTCATTAGTCAAAGATGGTTGACCAACGGAAAAGTAGCAAATTTGACGGGTGGACTAAATATAGAGTATGTAAAATGATTAAGTAAATGGATAGAATACAAAAAATGAATAAAACGAGAATAGTTAGGATATGGAAGCGAAAATTTTCCAAGTATAAAAAAAATACAACATAATATGAAGGAAGCAAGTCATATTAATTGAATAAAATAATATTTAAGTCGCAAAATCAAATATGATGCAAACAAGTCATATTAAAAGAATAAAATGGAAAGTGGAGGTTCGCCACATCCATCGAGAAGAGAACTTTGCAGCAGACTATCTTGCGTCGATGGCCTTGACATTGCCAAGTGGGCTCCACGTTCTTGACGACCCACCCACGGGGGTAAAACCGTGGTTAGAACATGATAACTTAAGGGTTTCTTATTCTCGCAACATTGTCGTCTAAGGCTTCTGCCTCCTTTTGCACCAAAAAAATATATTAAAAGAATAAAATAATAAGTAGCATAAACAACAAAATGTGATGCAAGCAAGTTCTATAAATAGAAAAAAAAAAAATTATGCTTTTATTATCCCTATTTTACCGGTTGCAATAGTTTTTTCTTTTTTTCTTTGATACAATAAAGGGAGGCCTAGGCCTAACTGACCCTAAAACCAAACGCGACGGGGTAAGCACCCCAATAAGATCTTGTTCAAGCCACCTGCTGACGGATGGAGGTGGGACATGAAGATGGTGCACCCCTTAAGGGTACGGACGCCGCTAAAGAAGCTAGATGATCCGCAGTGAAATTCGCTTCCCGAAATATATAATCCAATTGCACTGACCACTCGCGATCCCTTAATTCTCGTATCGCCCGAACAAGACTATCATGGATCCCACCCACGTCCTCTCGCCCCATAACCATAACAATCACGCCACTATTGTCACTTCCGCCACTACCTTCCGTACGCCCAAAGCCCATGCGAGAGATAGCTTGTGAAAGAGACCCCACAGTTAAAGATGATTCACAAAGAAAACTAAGAAAATTTACTGACAAACGACACATAAGTTATGTAAAATGATTAAATAAATAGACAATGAATAGAAATAAAAAATGGATAATTAAGGTATGCAGACACAAAAAATTCATCTCCTAAAAGACCTTCTCTACTGAAACCCTTTTTCGTCAAAGTCCTCGGCTCTCGATCTAGGCGCCTTCCCCAGCGGGACTTTCCGATCATCCGGTCGTGACGCCCATGGGCCTGCGTCCCGTTCTCCTAAAAAATCGCCGCTTGGAGGTGGGCTTCTTCGCGCGGGAGGAGGTGTAGTTTGTTCCTGTCTCGGTCTCGCCTTGAATCTGGCGCCTGAAAGGTGAGGCGGACGACCGATTCTTAGGAATTTTCACTTTGGCGATCTTGTGGCTGTTCTTCAGGAGCGGGATGCGACTTCAACTTCTCCGATTTGGGGCTTTTGGAGCGGTGGATTCTCCCCTTTCAGCAGTGGTCGTCTCCGGTTCTGGTGTTCGGCGGAGGGGCTAGTCGACATTGTGAACCTTGCCTGATGTTCTGTCACCGATTTCTGGTTTTTGGTGTCAGGCGTTTGGATGTGGGGGGAGCCTCCGGGAATGGGGGATGTCTGTTTGGATTGGGGCTGTGTCTGCTGGTGTCAGACCTAGTTAACCGTTTTCTGGCAGTTTCTGGGTTGGGTTTTTGGGTCCGACCTCGTCCGTGTGGATGGATGTCGTTTGTTGTCGCTGCTGTTTCGATTGGTTAGACTTCCCGTTTCGGGAAGGATTGTTGATGCTGTTGTTTTTGTTGTTTGTATATTTTATTTTTGGTTTAGCTTGTGGGTGTTTTTGTTTTGTGGGTTGTATTTTGTTTTCTCTTTTTTGGAGGAGTGTATTATTCTTCTGTTGGGAGTTTGTGTTATTCTTCTATGGAGAGCTTTTATTTTATTTTTCGTCTCATAATGTATGTAGTGGTATCTAGGCTGTCTTGGTTAGTCCTTCTATTTTGACTAATTAGGTATTTATGTATTTTAATTAATGAATTTGTCGTTTCTAAAAAAAAGTATGCAGATACAACATTTCTGCATATAAGTAAAAGAAACTACAAAATATGATACAAGTTTGTTATATTAACATAACAAAATAGGAAATTGATACATTGTCTACCTAATGTAAAACTAGGTTGACAATACATATGAAAATAGACATTATACCATATCCTCTAAATTGTAATTATATATCTTTCTCCACCAACTAATTATTATCTTTCACATGTCAAGTTATTCTACAATTGACATTCACTATTGGAGACAAACTAATTTTATTTATTTTCTCCACAACATACATATGAAAATAGACATTGTACCATTAGAGATGCGCTAAATTGTCAATATAGCATTTTCTACTAAAATAATATATAAGTAGTCGAAAAAACATAATATGATGTAAGCAAGCAATTCCTTTCTATAATAAAATAATATTTAAAGGAAACAATAAAATATGCCTAAGAGCATCCCCAATGCATAAATGTTGTTATCAAATAAATTTTGACAAATGTCAATTATTTAGATGAATTGTGAACAACATAAGATATTTGTTAAGTTCACAACTTTAAATCTAAAAAATTATATACAATGCATTATGTGATCAAACATAATATTGTCCACTTGGTAAAAATAAAAATATTATAAACAAGAAACAAAAAAATTAAATAATTTAGATATTTTGAAAATAGTAATAATATTTCTCTCTTATATCTCAATTGGTTGATTGGAATGTGAAAGAGAATGTGGATGAATTACATTCTTCTCTACATTGTGGACATTAATTATGTCCACCTCATCACTATATTTGTGATTATATTGTGCATTATAAGATTAAAAGTGGAGATATTACTAAATTTGTTAATATAAAGTGTAATTTACTACAATTATATTTCACTATTGGAGATGCTCTAAGCCTAAGGCCTATGGGTGTGCTTGCCATTTTGAATCGTGGAATTGTAAACTGGATACCATTTGGAGAATAAACCAGACATTGCTGGACGTGAACTGGATACCATTTACCATCAAATAACTGTTCAGTAAAAAAAAAATCAACGCTTGTCTTTACTACCGTCTACCATTTTTTCCACTATAAAAGAAAAAAATCAAAGCTTATCTCTATTCACAGGCCACAGCACCTCTAAGATTCTGTCCACATTAAGGTTCACGAAATCTGAGACTAACCCTATATAAGCATCACCTTTTCCATTCTTGAGTTGTATGCTTAACCCAGAAAAGAAGTTTCATCACAAACAAAAAAGACCCATTAATCCATTATTCCATTATTTTTGAGCTGCTCTCTTCTTGTCTTTCAACTAAGAAATGTATTTTCTTTTCCCAAGAAAAGACTGTACATTGGTTGTTTAAGATGCTGCACTGGAATTGGGCCTCACCCTGTAATGAAAATTTGTAACTTTTGAGGTTAGTCAACTACTTAGATTCGTTTTCTTGGTAATATTGTTCTGATTATGTGATCTTTACTCGCCCCTCGTGTAGTAAATTCATGACCCACTGAAAAAGCTAAGATATTTTTGTCTATTTTTTTTAATGTTTCTTTTTAGTGTTATCTTTGGAGCGTTTTTTCTAAGCTGGTTGGTGGGTTTAGTTAGATTGTTGTCATTGTTTGGTTTTTATAAAATTTCGTGGTTAGCTTTGCTTTCACTACTGATGTTCTTGCCGTAGATTTAAAAAAAAAAAAAGGTAAAGATGTAAAATTTATGTATATTATTCGAAATACAGTTAGGCCCCAGGTGATGTAACATTTTCTATTCAAAATATAAGATCTATTGAGAATTCATCCTGTTTGGCTGGTAGTTCTTTTAAACCATATTGACATTCAATTTAAGAGAAAATAAAATAAAAAGTGTCTCTATTGGGGGCATCGTTAAACTGTGTTAATAATGGAATAACGATTAGGAATGTTGATTGAAGTAGTCCAGTGATAAGTGCTTGATATATGTTTTCTTTTTGCTGTATTAGTTGATTTGAGTTGGTCGGGTTGCATTTTCTGTCTCCTGCTTAGTTGATTGGCCATGGTGGTATTCCGGGTTTTACTTTTGTGCTGTTTCGCAATATTCCCTGCAATTTTCGCACAAATATTCGAAGACGCGAAAATTAGCATCGACACAAGCACCAAAATTGCCGATACTGATGATCCTTACATTTGTGCCACTATCGATTTGTGGCCGCCAGAGAAGTGTAATTACAACAGATGTCCTTGGGGTTCATCATCAGCCTTAAATCTCGTAAGAAAATCTTGCTAAACGGGCGATGGTTTATTTTTCCTTAACTGTTATCATATATGTGTGGGTTTGTTATCTTGAATTTGTTTCTTTTGGCAGAACTTGTCCCACCCTTTCCTTAATAATGCTATTAGAGGTTTGTTTTTCCTGTTTTTTAAAATCTTACCTCATATGTGATGTGAATTGATGTCTTACTCCATTTAGTTTCACGACAGCTTTCAAGAAGTTGAGAGTTAGAGTCGGTGGTTCTTTGCAAGATCAAGTGGTATATAATGTGGGGGAATTAACCTCTCCTTGCCATCCATTTAAGACGCAGAAGGGTGGTCTGTTCGGTTTTTCAAAAGGGTGCTTGCAAATGGAAAGATGGGATGAGCTGAATAAATTTTTCAATAGGACAGGGTAAAGCACTAAAGCTTCAATTTTCTGTGTCATTCTGTATATGAATGTACATATCTGTATCTGCAAAATGAAATGTAAACAAATTGCACACAGAAGATTTAGCATTTATGGTGATATTCGGGCTATGCAGAGTTATTGTAACATTCGGGCTTAATGCTCTATACGGGAGGCATCGTATTCATAACAACAAAAACGTTTGGGGAGGTACTTGGGATTCAAGCAATGCTCGTGATTTCATTACATACACTCTTTCCAGGGGATATCACATTGACTCTTGGGAATTCGGTATAAGAATTATAAATTCTTGTTTTTGGGTTTTCAGTCATAGATTTATACTCAGGCTATGTTTGGCACAGCTTATTTGGTTAGCTTATAAGCTTCCTGTATTCAAATAAACTTCGTTTGGCAGAACGAGCTTTTTTATAAAACTCGAGCTTATCTCATAAGCTTCTTTGAGTAACTTTTCAAATCAGCTCGTTGAAATTTTTATTTCAGCTAGCTTATCAGCTAATTTTACCAAACACTTTTATTTATAAGCTATAAGCTCGAAAACCACTTATAAGTTACTAACTTATCAACTAGTTTTATCAAACATAGCCTTATAAATCGTGAGTTTAGATCAGTTATCTCCTTATCTTGTGACTAGGTAACGAGTTAAGTGGCAAAGGGATTGGAGCTAGTGTTGGAGCCGAACAATATGGGAAAGATGCCATTCGACTAAACGATATGCTTAACAACTTGTATGCGAATTTCTCACCGAAATCAGCGGCTCGTCTAATCGCACCATCGGGATTTTTCGATAAGAAGTGGTATGGTGATCTCCTTAAGGCCTCCGGCCCAAAAGCTGTCGACATTTTGTCGTATCATTTGTACACTCTCGGTCCAGGTGGGTTCTTTCTTTTTCATTTATATCCCCGAGTAGTTAGCTGGCCGTTTTTTTTTTCCTTTTCTTTTTTTTTTCGGCATTTTGTAGTAACACGAGTAAGACAGGAAATGATGGCAATACGGTGAATAAAATCTTGAATCCCGATCACTTGGATGAAGCATCTCGCATATTCAGCATGATTACTTCAACTATCCAATCAAACGGGCCTTGGGCTTCCGCATGGGTCGGCGAATCGGGAGGGGCCTTCAACAATGGTGCTCCAAACATATCCAACACATTTGTCGACAGCTTTTGGTGATTTTTTTTTTTTTTTTTTTTTTTGNCTCAATTTAATTTTGAATAAATTGCAATTTTAGTCTAGTATGTTTTCCTACCCTAACTTTTTCGTCTCCTTCGAATTGATTTATGTTTTTCGTCCCTGATGGTTGCAAAAAGGTTACAAAAAAGTCTCCGTAGGGACAAAATTGCAACTTTTTTTGCAAAACATAAGAGACTTTTTTGTTGCAAAAAGGATTTTTTTGTAACCTTTCTGCAAACATATGGGGCAAAATAAAAACAAAACAATTCAAAGAGGACAAAAAAGTTACGCTAGTGAAACACACAATTGAAATTTAATCTTTAACGTACCGAACTTGGTTTTTTTGTTTTTGAAGGATAAAAATTGACAAAATGTCCAACATAATCTTTTTATAGGTATCTGGATCAAATTGCAATGGCGGCTAAGTTTCAAACCAAAGTGTATTGCAGGCAGACTTTGATCGGCGGGTTTTACGGGCTCCTAGACAAAACTACATTTGTTCCCAATCCTGATTATTACAGGTAGGATAGGATAAGCTGGGATAAGCTTATCAGACATTAAATTTTTCCGATTTTTCGAGTTTTGCAGCTTGTTATTAACGTATCGTGCTTGTGAGGCAAATATCAGCGCACTTTTGTGGCACAGGCTAATGGGAAAAGCAGTGCTTTCTGTTAACAGCAACTCGTCAAAATATTTGCGGGCTTACGCTCATTGTGCTAAAGAAAGAGTAAGTGGGCCCCACCTTATTATATTATTTTTGTGATAGTTTCGGTTGATCGAAAGTGCGAGAAAATCAACGGTAACCAAATAAGCTAGCTTATATCTTATAAGCTTGAGATATAAGCTTCCTGTATTTAAATCAGCTTCGTTTGGTAGGACGAATTTTTTTAAAAAGTTCAAGCTTATCTCATAAGCTTATCTCGTAAGTGGGCCCCACCTTAATTTTCTGCAAAATTTGTGTCTGAATGACATATTCTTGTTTTCCAGCTTAGCATAGCCGTACTTCTGATCAACCTAAGCAACCAGACAACATATAATGTCGAAGTCCAATCTGACGAGCAAAACCAAAATCGAGCCAAAAAAAGAAACTCCATCACGGACAGGCTTAAAAAATCGGTATCGTGGGTTGGAAATAAGGCTTCAGACGAGAAGCTGTACAGAGAAGAGTACCATTTGACTCCCGAAAACGGCAACCTTACAAGCCAAGTCATGTTGTTAAACGGACATCCTCTGAAGCTAACGAAAAATGGAGGCATCCCGAGTTTGGTCCCGAGCCTCGTGAAAATGGGATCGATTTTGACAATTTCTCCTTTATCGATAAAATTCGTAGTTTACCGAAACTTCTGGTCCCCTGCGTGTGAAGAATAATAAAGTCTGTATATCTGCTGCTTCATATTCTTGGGTTTTGCATTGCTTTTTCTTCTATATGTTTAGAGTCTGATCAGCCACTAATAAGTGTGGTGGTGTATTATAGTATTTGTTTGTTTCCTTTGTGTGTGTGTGTGTAAAATGTTTTGAATGATTCAGCCAAGTGAAACAGAATAAGCAGCAATCACATAAAATGAAATGCAATACAGCCACAAGGGTTTTGAATTGTTGGAGATTTGGAGGGCCCACATATCTTTGGAGAGTCCACTCATGATTGCAGCCATCTATTTTACTTGGAGTCTAGGGGATTACTTTAATTTATTATTATTTTATTCTCTAGTGACGTGATTTTTTTTGGTACAAAAGAAGGCGGCATGAGAACCATAACTCCATAAGGGCATGATTGAATATAATTTCAACAGTAAGTATCTCACTCAAAACTCAAATTTAACTCAACCTTAATTCAACTCTACTATCTCTAATATTATCAATATAATTAAATAATATCAACCAATCATTATTACACATCACATCAACTTTAATTCACTATTCATTCACTCACATAATTTTAACTAACTATCACTTCCAATCATTTTTTCCTACTTTTACATCAAATCAATTTTAATTATTTTAATTTAAATATTATTTTAATATATCCACTAACAACTAACCATACTACTTTTTTAAAACTTAACTATAGTTAAAAAAAAAAACTAGTTTTTTACTAGTTGAATTCATATCCAATCACCCCCTAAGTCATTGAGGCATGAGAACCATGTATTTTACTTGGAGTATAGGGGATTACTTTAATTTATTATTATTTTATTCTCTAGTGACGTGATTAACATAAGTCATTGATGGAGAGGTCATATTCGGGAGGAAATTTATTAGTTGGGGGATTTATCTTCTGAGGGA